AATAATAAAAGGATGAAAACAATTTACGGGTCAAAGTTATGATAGTCGTCCACTTGACGGATATGAAGAAAAACGAAATACACAAAGGTCATAATGATAAAAAGTGAATAATAATAACTGATTACAGTTTAAAATTACAAAACTTTAATTTTAAAAAAACAAGCCTAAAACATACTATGGAAGGGAACTAGGGTCAAGGAAGGATGAGAGATTCGATGTATCGTTTGTGCATGACGCAGAGTTCGGGCTTGAATTCGTAGATCGCCAATGCCTCAACAGTGCAAGAGTTTTCGATTCGATTTCCCTTAGATCCAGTTCCTTCAATTGTGTAGACTATTTCAATAGAAGGCTCCATCAGAGAGATTTGTTCAGAGTTGATTGGATGCACCTAGATTGAACTGGCAGTTGTTTTAAAAGCCATGCCGAATTGTGTTCTGAGATGCATTTAGAAAGTGATCGCTTTGTGCAGCCATTGTAACTTGCCCCACGGAAGCGAGTAAATTTATAGATGCACATTGATGTTGCCCAAAGCGAAAGTTTATCCTTAACGCATCCATGGGTGACAGGCCAGAGTTTAGTTGAATAGAACGTTATATTCAGGGATTTTGAGATCCGTTTATTGAAGATTTCAACATCCGTATAGAGTTTAAAGAAGATGCCGCTATTGAAATCTTGAATAAACGAATCTCAAAATCCCTGAATATAACGTTCTATTCAGCTAAGCTCTGTATTGTTTCCTCAAGCCGATCTTCTATTCACAAATGTATTAAAGATAAAATTCTGCCGATAACAATAATAAGTAAAGAATTTAAATTCACCGAAGCAATAGTAAGTTGACAACAACTATTCATCATGTAACAGAAATGAACGTTTACTTTTCATTATCTAAGCTTAATTTAATAAATAATTCGTGTTATAACCGCAGGGTTAGTGATTTACTAATTAATTAATTAGTTTATTTGAACGTATAAACATTGAAACCAAATACATATGCGCCACACAATAACAATCAGGCTGTGAAGAGATAGAGAATGTAAAGTATGTATAAGAAAAAAGAGAACAATAATAAACAGAAGTTAATGTATGAGAGTGAAATAATAATAATGACAGAGGCGGTGCAGTTAGTATAGGTAAAACCAGAAAGAATTCTTCCAGTTAAAGAAGTTATCTACAAGGTTTCCTGAAGAGACACTTGCAAGTAAAAAACAAAAAAATAGCGACATCAACGGCTAGTAAGAAACCCCTCTTCCTGAAGCTGTAATTCAATGGAGATGTAGTTGATAATGTGCAAAGCGATAGACTGACTAGAGCAGTTAAGAGAATGTTCAATTCAGCTAACCTCTGACTATCGTACTCGACCCGATCGATGGTGATTCCTCAAATAAAGGATAAGTTACCTGGTTATGTGTATATACGAATTCAGCTGCTTCTATGGAGAAAACTACATTGGGCGCACTATCAGACAACTGAGCAAAAGAGATAGTGAACACCGCCCTTCGTGGTGAGGAAAATATACTGACAAAACAATACAAAGCTCTATTAAATCACATCCGGTCGATAGAGATCGTGTAGTGAACATAAATAAGTCATTTATCGTGTTCTTACTAGTTCGATCTCGTCTCTTACACATAACAGAAGCTATAGGAATTCAAGTCTTTGTATTCATAAGAAATTCGAAATACCCTTATCTTTCTCTTGGCATTAATAAATGATTTCATTTATTATTATTTTCCATAATCTATCTTCGTTTATTTTTTCACCCCCTTCCATCCTTTTCTCAAAAAAACGTTTCACAGTCCAATTATTCAAACAGCAGCTACCCAGATAGACAAACTTCTCGACTACTTCTATCAGCTCACCAACAACAGTGAGTGCAGAATCAGGGTTCTAACAGTCTTGTAAAAGTACTTTGCACTTTGAAAGTTCAAAGCACACATCATATCTACAGACATTAATTGCCAACTAATTAAGTCACGATTCCATGGCTTGGGTATCATCCCATACTAAGACAATATCATCAGCATACTCACACTCCAGAAGTATTTCTCCACGCAACAGATCCACATCAACATCAAATATATCCATCAGACCTGTTTAAAACACGTCATCCGTAGTAAAGTTGAAGAGGAATGGTGAGATTGGGAAACCCTGTCTAACCCTCACTACTTGAATGGAACAGAGGAGACAGGTGGTTGTATGGCCTCACTCTGCTTGACGTGTTAGTATATAGGGCCTTCAAGATGTTAATAAACTTCTCAGACACACCCTTATTTAATAGACAATCCCAGAGAACAGTCGTGTCCAACGAATCGAATGTGACCCTAATGTGAAGAAACATTACAATAGTTGACCTGTGATAAGTATAACATTGTTCTAACATTTGGCGGAGGGCGAATATATGATCAAAACATCTTCGATCATAACAAAAAACAGTCTGCTCCTCCTGAGTCAATCTTTCTCGGGCTTTGAACCATCTGCGAAATATGACGGAAGCCAATAGTTTGGATGCGATCGGATGTAGACATTTTCTCCGATAGTTGTTACAGAAACGATGTGATTGCATAGATTGTGATAAAATAACAAAAATTTAATTTGTAATGTTTTGGATTATGCCGATGTTGACAGTTAGAACTGAAGTTTTAGTCAATTTTAGTTAGTAGATTTGCATTCTGTGTGGATTATTTCAATAGAGTGGTTATATTACAAGTTTTTTCGAAAATGGATAGAATGTAGATAGGATTGGAATATAGGACACACGTATGATTCTATTTGAGGCTCATTGTCTGGTAAAACATTTACTTGAAATATAGACGACAGCATGATCCAAACTATTACAAACATGTCGATGTTTGATACTAAATGTAGTGGATTCGAATGCCAACGTGGATATCAATTTTGAGACTTTGATCAAAACTGTCCGATTAGTCCACATAAGCACACAGACACTATTGTTGATTTAAACCCCGTCGTGGTAGAGGTATTAAGAGTATAAGCGGTAATCGGAAAGATCAGGGTTTGAAGATGTTAGTCAAGGAGTATAATCCAGTGGAATAAATTTGCAAAGAGAAGAAAGAAAGGGGCATGAAAAATTCAGAAAATTAGAATTTGAGAGAACACAAAGAGTGGATGCACCTGTGCCATTGCAAACGATTTTCAGCTATGTCATTCAAGATCTCTAACCACCGGTTGCTATCATCTCGCGGACCCCAACCAGATAGTCTATACTTACCAACATGACTCAGTCCACTTGTCCAGTGACTCCATAGATTTGTGTCATGTTTTGGTCTAGCCACCCCTAACTTTCTTCCAACCTACTCCTACACCATAAAACATCACACGTCGGAGCAGTCGGTGGTTTGGCATACGTAACACATGTCCCAGTCATCTCAACTAATGAAGTTTCACTACTTCATCAATTGATTTGCCATCCTTACCTATTATCCGTTTCCTAACAACTAGATTACTTACTCGATGGTCCCAGAATATACGAGCAATGTTTCGAAAACACCTATGATCAAATACTAATACCCTACGAATATCCTCTACTCTTACCGGCCACGTTCCACTCCAAAAAAAGTAGGACAGAATAAACAGCTGAGCAGTAAACACATCCTTTGGTTGATAGACGGATATCTCGTCATTTATTGCATCGAGTAGTATCAGTTACCATTAGTGTCTACATTCATCAGTTTTATTCATTTTTGTTATATTATGTTAACCAGTGTAACATCATGGATTAGCACTCAAACATAATCACACACTTCCGGATAAACACTTTTCAAAAAGAGAACATTTTGAAATGATCTAATTTTTCTGAGATTTCAATTAAACAACTTCATTATCACATTGTAAACCAATTAGGATCAAAATTGATTGAATAATCAGAATAATCAGATTAATAACATTATAGTTAAACTAAGTGATTTGACAATTACATAATTGAAATCTTACCAAGTTACACACACTTGCATACACACAAACATACGCATACACATGCACATCCATAGACCCAAAGAACAGTTGTCGTAGAACAATGTAAACTATGTAAAAATGTAGTTCCATCAAACAGCTGAATAATTATTCATTGAAATAGTTAAACATTTTTGGAATATGACTGACGGCTAGTTAATATAATGTTGAATTTATATATTATAATAGCAAAAAGAAATATAAAGTATAGAGATAAGGAAACATTAGAATAATTGATAAATTAGAGTTAAGTAACTAGACAATTCATGACCGGTTATATTTAACCATGATGAAATTGGAACAGTCAATATCACATCCGTTGTATAATAGATGAGCTATACTAAGAAGTGATTGAATTTGAATCTATAAACAATTATATACTGTCTCACTGGCCAACAGACATCATGTCCATCGCAACATGCTCCCAAATGCCCTGGTACGGCCGAGAGTGGGGAGAGTCCGCTCTCTCTCTCTCTCTCTCTCTCTCTCTCCAAATGCTCTCACATGGCCACACGTATATAGCCTCTGCCAGGGAAGTCCTACTCACTGACTTCTTGCATCAAAGGTGTTGTTTACGAAAATGAGAGGACGAAAAGCGAATGTCCGGCGCTTTAAACGAATCTCAAACCAATGGTACACATGAGCTGGCTCCAGTACCCTGAAGGAACAAATAGCGTATGAGCCAATCGTTGGTCACCGGCTACCATGGGACTGCATCTCCTTACGATGCTCCACTGCCTTGTGAGTTAGACCTTTAGGTCAAAGGCTCAGGGTGTGGCTCCCTAAGAAAACCACCTGTTCCGGTTTGGGCACCCGGTCAGTATCACAACCCAACACACAAATCAAATGAGATTTTTGTGGCACATATTTATTTGGTGCTTTTTTGTACCAATATCTATAATAATCATAATCATAACCAAAATCAATTCATGATGAAAAGGTCATCTTCATTTGAAAAAGAAAAGGAAAGAAAGATAAGTCAACGACAACAGTGTCAATATCAATCATGAATAAGATAGAAAAAAACTTACTTTCATCATACGTTTCACTGAATACGCCAATGATAAAGTTACAGCTAATGGTAAACCTTCAGGTACAGCAACAACTAATACTGTCACACCAGTAATAATATAATTAACTATTTGTTTTAAATGTTTTCCAGTTTGCCATGGTTCTTTATTTTGTGCAAATGTATGTACTGAAAATTTTATGATTAATATTAGAACAGTAGCTATTGCAACAAATGTACCTAGAAAAAAAAATGGGATGAAAAGAGAAAGACAGAAAAAAAAATGTAGTCAAATAGAAGTATTCAATACTATTTTAAGTGATTAGAAACGACTGCGAGTACAGCGTATAAGAGGGAGGACAAGTGTAGTGTATACTACTTATATTGACAAATATAAGTAGTATTTAATACTAGTCACAAGTGGAATGTCTCTCTCAATAGAAGGTTAAGAAGATTGAACTGAAAAAAAAAACAGAAATGGAAACATAATGAAATTGAGAATCGGCACAATCATGATAGATGTGCAAATGAAGTATTTATTGTATAGTTTTCATAATTTACCAAGATACTTTGTAATTTTGTATTCAACAATAAAATAGTTTCACTCTATTTATAACTCATCAACTGCATTCCAGTGTTTATGTTCAATTTGAAAATCGAGAAAGATTCATATATGAAGATGAAGTTCAAACATCAAGAATTCAAACCTCTTATAAGTAATAGTATACAAATGGAACACATCGGAAAAGTCTGTGACTATCTAGATTCAACAGTACAGTGTGTAATGAGTTTGAGTTTAAAACATAAGGTACTGGGTTTGAGTTTCAGTAAGAAAATCAACAATAGGATGAGTATACATTTATTTGACAAATCAGAAGTAGAACGAAAAATAATAACAAAAGTTTTCGGAACTTCTATTGAGAATGTTAGGAGTCCAAGATAACTCCTGAAGAAAGTGTTCAGAAGCCAGGAGAGTGGTGAAAACTTATTGTTCAATTCACGTTCTTGGTCAAATATCGATATTATTCTAGAAAATGATAGATTACCACTAGAAAACTAACGAGGTTGTTACTAATTTTAGTAGGTTTCTAGAAGTCTACACAATATCTGGGCTAAGTAGATAAACCCGTAACTACTCTATTCTTCTGTATGTCAAAAAAAAAATCTTCCCATATAATAGATGATTTCTGGGTCCTAGTAATTCGACATCTAAACGTTCAGGTAACATAAATTATTATTATTTAAACACATAATCATTAATACAAGTAGGCACCAAATAGATATGCGCCACATAAATCATTCGATTTGTGTAAGGGCTGGAATACTGTCCGGGTGTTCAAACCGAAGCAGGTAACAAATGCATCAGTTAGCAGCACTCGACTTTCAATCAGTAAATTACAGGAATGGAATAATGAACCAAAACCAAGTATATTAAACATGTACTTGATTAACGCGAAGATGTTCATTGGTTAAGGTGTTTGACTTCTAGTCACTGAGTCTCATGTTCAAATCATCAACCATCTATTTCGATATAGGCAACCAAGTAGTACTACTAACATTCACATTAAGAATATGGTATGAAGACAGGTACATGAATTTGTATTTGGTAAGTGTGAAATAACAATTTATTACTTGATACATGAATGAATTACCTGTTCTTCTCATTACAGTTGTCATGGACTGATTTTGTCAATGATTTTTTTTCTTAATTATTAGCACTGACCATAGTTTCGGTTTACTTGTACAATCACTATTATTGACTATAATATTGTTTCAGAAGGGTTTTTGTGGAGAATTAGTAATTTCAATAGTTGAAATCATGAGTCAATTGAAGCTAGATCACCACGGAAAACCTAGAAGCACTAGACGGCCGTTTCGTCCTAGTATGAGACTCCTCAACAGTGCGCATCCACGATCCCGCACCCCGCGGGATTCGAACCCAGGACCTATCAGTCTCGCGCCAGGCGCTTAACCAACTAGACCACTGAACCGGCATCCAACGGTGTTAATGTCTAACTTCAACCAATCCACGAAGTTGCGCCAACATCACCGTTGTCTTCAGTGAGCTAATATCTCACAACAAGTCGGGTTGAACTCCACTGGTCACGGCTTCTCACTAGTAACTCCAGGAATATCTCTTAAAGTTAGTCACTAGTGAGCAGATGATTATATCAGAAGGGGTTTTGTGGACAAAACGGTCGTCCAGTGCTTCCAGGTTTTCCATGGTATTCTAGCTTCAATTGACTCATGATTTCAACTATTGAAATCTATAATATTGTTGTTTAAATTTAATGGTACCTTTCCCATTACCGTTTTGTTTTCTCTCCTTGCATGATGCAATGATTATAGCTTACAAATACACTACTGACCACACACTTCTCGTTCTCATATTAACAGATTAACATTTATAGTTCACATTGTTTAGTGAGAGAGGATCAATTATTCAGTGCACAAACATACAGTGATTTAGTAAAATGTGAAAATCATACATCTAATACATCATTTGCACATCTTCCTTGAATTGTCTCTTACAAACTTCATTATTTCCTTCATTCTTCTGATTATCTTGATTGCTTTCAATTTTCTCAACCTTTCACTTTCAACTGGTATTACTGTTATATTTGGTCATCGCTGATTGTTGTAACGGAAAAATGCTGATCACTTATACTCGAAACGACGGGACCTCCGTAATTCCCATGACGCGAAGTAAGAACATAAAGACTGGTATGAGTGAAAATTTATTAGCCCCAAAACACCAGGACGACTATTCCAGTTGAAAACACACTCATTTATATATTGATTGTACATCCATTTTGATTAGTAATTAGGATGAAATCACCTACTCAGAGTTATAACATATCACGTACTGAGTATAGTTCAGGTCAATGGAATACAAGAACATCGTATATTATACAGAAGAAAATATCATACTGGGAAAACAAAACTGAATACTACACTGAATGATCATCACATTGAATCCGAACGGATGTAATGTTGAATAAAACTCATAATGAGTAAATCAATCATAAATTGGCTATTCTTTCCATCATATCAACTGTATACTACTTATATCTACAAATATAAGTAGCATACATCATATATGTATATATATATCGTATTTGGAGTTATTGATTACTTATGATTATGGTTATAGATTACGTGATCAAAACTCGAACATGTTTCCAATTGAAATGTCAAAAAACGTTTCTATGTATTTGTTTTGACACATTTTTTTTTGATCGTTACTTGTCTGTATCCATGTTTAATGTATGGATCAAATTGTTATATCCGCAGGAAGAATAAGTGAATGGATAACTATTGTGTAACTATATTTGACCTATCGACTAATGTTATACGATTTACTATCCTATTCTCATAGTTACTCTTTAGCTTCATCTTGTATAATTGTTATTTTCTATTTCATAGTATGATATAGTCTGGTTTGTTTGTATATAAACTAAGTATATCTGAAATACAGGATTCATATAGCGGAGGTTGATATTTGTGTTTTAGAATAAACTGGCTGAGTTAAATGAGAAGCTACTATTTTGGAGGTCCAATAAGAACTCAGAATTGACTTTAGGCTGTTTATACTGGTCTATGTGTGATTGATCTGGTCAATAAGTCGGTGATTTAATTGGCGATCATATCACGTGGTAAGGAAATAACACTCATCAGGTACAAATTCGTGTACCTATCATGATTGATTGATAATTAATGATTTGAACATACAACTTAGTGACTAGAAATCAAACATCTTGCCCATCTTTACAATGTAAAATCCCTTATTTTCACTTATATACATATGCTTCAACAATGTATCTACGTAACTTTTATTCTTTATTACATAAGAGTTATTATTTGAGAAAAAAAAATTCTCACAATCGCCCTTTCTTGACTCTTCACTTCTATCAATCTACTTATACAATAAAACTACCCATACCATGAATCTTAGATGTTTTACCAGACATAGAATCATCATTATCATCATCATCGTAGTTATATTAGACTTAAACATTTGAATACTTGTAACATTTTTATTCATTTCTATTGTCATGATTTGATACAATTAAATAGAATGAAAAGAATTATTGAAACTCTAATGTGTAATCTTTCCTCTCTCTCTCTCCCTTCCCCTCCCTCTCCCTCTCTCTCTCTTTCTCTACTCTTTATCTTCTTACTCCTCATCGGATGGTGGTACATATTAAGAAATAATGAATTAACCCGCCAAAAACAAAATAACCGCCTACGATTATTTCAATATTCAATAGCAATATATATATATATATATATATATATATATATATATATATATATATATATATAGACAATAGTCAGTTAACTGATATCATTATTACTAGTTCCTATGTATTATTCTTGTACAAGTGATTATGTAACATTTTTGAAATGTAAAATTGATAACGAATTTGTCTTTTCTTTCTTTTCAAATTATGTCATTATTGGATCTAGTAACGAAATCGACATCTCTTATAAGTAAAGTTAAAATAGTATCTAGGTAGATAAAGTACATTGTAAATGATGGTAAGTTTAAAATTAGGGTATAAGCAAAGATAGATAGTGGCTAATAGTGGAATCCAGATTGACGCTCGTTTCGTCCTATTTTGGACTCATCAGCTGAATGTACTTGCATCTCAGAGTTGATATACACTCTGGGACTCGAACCTAATACTCTTCACTTCAAATGCCATTGCATTTTCCACTTAGTTACTGAGTCCTAGATAGCCACTTGCTTGTGCGATGGGGTGAATTTAAATTCATTTGGTATTGTCTTGCTTGTATCTTCCCATTGAGGTTTTAAGACTGCAATTGATCAGTCTGTTATTGGCATTTGTGCATACTGTGCGTATGCCTCAATATCGCTTTAATTCACAAGCTTTATAAGCAAAGATAGATAAGGGCTAGTGGTGGAATCCAGTTTGACGCTCATTTCGTCCTATTTTGGACTCATCAGCTGGATGTACTTGCATCTCAGAGTTGATGTTTACTCTGGGACTCGAACTCAGTACCATTCGCTTCAAACGCCATCTCGTTATCCATTTAGCTACTGAGTCTTGATAGCCACTTGCTTATGCAATGAGGTGAAGTTTAATTGCCTTGATATCGCCTTAATATACAAGCATTATATGCACATATGCCAATAAGAGATTAATCAATTGCAGTCCTAAACATCAATGGGAAGATTCAAATAAAACAATACCAAGTAAATGATAATTAGGTTAGTCTAGAATTTATTTTGTATTGTTTATTTGAATCTCCTTATTGATGTTTAGAACTGTAAGTGATCAGTTTCTTATTGATATATGTGCATTCTATGAGGATGAAAGTACATTCAGCTGACGAATCCCTAATAGGACGAAATATACGTCGTTGATTCCACTGATAGCCATCATTGTTTTATCTTGAAGCTAATCACTAATGAACAGATGATTGACAGTGCTTTACATGATTTATATGTGAAGATTTTTTACAACTGAAAAGTACCTTCTATTATTGTATACAGGTCGTAATTAAAATTATATTCAAATTGTTATCATTCAACAGGAATTGATTACGATACTACACTCATACTCAATAGTCCAATCGTTCAATAGGTAACCACATATAGAAGAGGAGAAATAAACATTTACTCACACTATAAAGAATAGTCAGTAACTGAAATAAAAAATGTGATGAATATTGAAGTAGAAGATAATCTCTTACATAGAATGAAGCCGAACATGTGTATATCTACAATTAACCAATTTATTTTATTATTTTATTTTAACACATAGGTATTGATACAAGGGGGCACCAAATACATATGCGCCACACAAATCTCATTTGATTTGTGTGAGGGCTGTGATACTGCCTGGGTGCCAAAACCGAAGCAAGTGGTTTTCTTAAGGGGCCACATCCGGAGCATTTGACTTAAAGGTCTGATCCACAAGGCAGTGGAGCATTGTAAGGAGATGCAGTCCCATGATAGTCGGTGACCGACAATTGGTTCATAATTCATTTGTTTTGTTTTAGTGTAGGACGTTCTTTAACAATTAAATCCAGGAACTTTAGACCTTATACAGTGACAGCATTAGATTGAAATCAATTAGCTGGTATGCAATGCTTCAAATTTTCTACTTTTATCAATTTACAATACTGATCTACCATCATTCAATGTTATTATGGATGACTTATATCACTATTGTGTGTATGTATTTCTAAAGAGTATTATGTAGTACCTTTGCTAGGTTTTAAACTTTGTCTAGCTCAAGTCAACTTGTGATATAAACCGTCTCTGTTTTCTTAGAAGATGATGATTACTAGGTGAAATTAATCTAATTAACAAAAAAGAAACTCTGTCCGTAGTATCTGAATCTTTCATGATACTGAATAACTAGAGATAGTAAATCCACATAATATATGAAATGGTAGGTAGTTTAAAAAAAAGGAGGAAATTCAGCTAGACAATATAGGACCAGGCACATATATATGCATAACAAGATGAACACTAACTTTATAGAAGCAGTTACTTCAATGAAGAGAAGTTAAAGTTTCATAGCCTTGATTAGAACCTTTGTTTACAGATCATTCAATCGTAGTTAAATTATTTTGATTGAATTAATCATTTTTTAATAATGACTCTAATTTCAGATCGATCCTGGCAGGTTCGATTGTCTTTTGCCTCCAAATGCCCTGGTACGGCCGAGAGTGGGGAGAGTCCGCTCCCCCTTTCCGAATGCTCTCACGTGGCCATGCATATATAGCCTCTGCCAGGGAAGTCCTACTCACTGACTTCTCGCACCAAGGGTGTTGTTTACGAAGATGAAAAGACGAAAAGCGAATGTCCGGCGCTTTAACCAGATCCCAAACCAATGGTGCACATGGGCTCCAGTATCCTGCGGGAACAAACGGCGTATGAACCAATCGTTGGTCACCGGCTACCATGGTACTGCATCTCCTTACGATGACCCACTGCATTGTGGATCAGACGTTCAGGTCGAAGGCTCGGAGTGTGGCCCCCTAAGAAAACCACCTGTTTCGGTCTAGGCAACCGGGCAGTATCACAGTTCTCACACATATCAAATGAGATGTGTGGCGCCTATGTATTGGGTGCCTCCTTGTACTAATATCTATGTGTTAAAATAAATAAATAAATACAATAATGACTCTAATTTCAGATAACAATATTTGATCACTTGGTTAGTGGTTGTTTCTTCTTTAAGCATTCCATGTATAAATTACTATTTCGATGATCTTCAAATGATCTCAATATTAATGTTAGCTAACCGGTTATATCAATGGTTAAGTTGTGAAATCAGTGAACTGTAAACTATTATGTTGTAAATTAAAACCTCACATTGTCTAACTCCATTTGAGCAGTTAGGCGGTGAGTGACAAAACAACATAGGAAGCTACAGTTTCTTCAAGATATAGTATGCTGTAGTTAGTCCTGATCAATATCAAATGACTAATATTGTGTCATATTCACACCTCAAGGTTAAGAAATTCAACATTTCTCAACAATTTTACATGAGGTAATAAAAGAGGATCATTAATAATCTTCATCATGAACTTTTAAACTCCTTGAGTACGATCGATTATCATTTATTTATTTGTTTATTTGAACACATAAACATTAGTACAAGGAGGAACGAAATCAGATGCACCACATAATCGCAATGAGGTTGTGAAGAGATAGAGAATGTAAAGTGCGTATAAGAAAAAGGAGAACAATAAAGAACAAAAATTAGTGTATGAGAGTGACGTAATAAAAATACTGAGAGAAACAGTTCAGTTAGCAAAAATATGATTGGAAAAAATTCTTTCATTTAAAGAAGTTACGTTCACTTTTTACGAAGAAAGTAAGAGAAGGATCGCCACCGACTTCTATTCTAAGTCATATCAAATAACGTCTCTAGCCACTATGTTGCACCACCTCTAGGATCCTAGCCAAGGAGTCGTGAAGGACCAATAGAACTCGGTCACGTACAGCTTTCTTTCATACCACCAAACCATTTCATACACTGACCACCTCTCCCTTCTTTCCAACTATTCATGACTGCTTCTATCCGCTCCCTATCTACAGTGAGTACAGAATCAGGGTTCTAACAGTCTTGTAAAAGTACTTTGCACTTTGAAAGTTCAAAGCACACATCATATCTACAGACAGTAATTGCCAACTAATTAAGTCACGATTCCATGGCTTGGGTATCATCCCATACTAAGACAATATCATCAGCATACTCACACTCCAGAAGTATTTCTCCACACAACAGATCCACATCAACATTAAATATATCCATCACAGCTGTTTAAAACACGTCATCCATAGTAAAGTTGAAGAGGAATGGTAAGACTGTGCAACCTTGTCTAACCCTCACTACTTGAATGGAACAGAAGATACAGGTGGTTGTGTGGCCTCACTCTGCTTGACGTGTTAGTATATAGGGCCTTCAAGATGTTAATAAACTTCTCAGACACACCCTTATTTAATAGACAATCCCAGAGAACAGTCGTGTCCAACGAATCGAATGTGACCCTAATGTCAAGAAACATTACAATAGTTGGCCTTTGATAAGTATGACGGTATTCTAACATTTGGCAGATGGTGATGATATGATCAATACATCCTCGACCAGAACCAAAACCAGTCAATCATTCCCGGGCTTTGAACAATCTACAAAGTCTGACGGAAGTCAATAGTTTGGACGCATTCGGACGTAGGACGCCACAATCTTCCACAAATTATACTAATCACGGATTCATAACAGATTTTTTCTTTCATATAACTTGTACTAAAGTAACAAGTATTGCTAAACATTTCACACACACACACACAAACACATGCTAAAAGCAAAGCTTGAAATCAATCACATAGAATTGCAGTTAATTTTATGATTATCATGCTTACGACAGAGAATTCCAAATATACCAACACACCAATTGGGCGCTGACGATCTTATCCAGGATGATTATTCAAACTTTATAATTAAACCAATACTACACCACGAAAAAGCGTTCATCTAAATTGTTTTGAATCTACTTCATCATTTGAAATTCTTCAGAATGATAATACTTGTTACTATCATAACATTGATAGTGAGCGGAAAGAGCAAAAGTAAACGACAAAACTGAGGATGATAAGCAAATGTCCGGTGTTTAAACCGCGTTGATAGGTACGGAGAATTCATCTAGGTGAGTTAGAAAACCCTAATTTCAAATCAACGGTGAACATAAGCTCCAGAATAGAAAAAAATAGTGTATGAACCTGTTTTCGGCCACTGGATAGCATGGAATCGCATCTCCTATTGTTGTTCCACTGCCTTATGGATTTGACCTCCATATCAAAGGTTCGGAAAGCAGTCCCCCAAACAAAACCATCTGCTCCAATTTGAGAACCCAAGCAGTATCCCAGTCTCTACACACAAATTCAGTTATTTGTATCAATCTTTGTGTGCTTAAATCAATTAAGTAATAATAAAATAAATAAATAGTGACTTACCAACATAACCAATTTGTATGGCTAATTTAGTTAATTTTGCTTGTAACACAGATTGTTCTTTACGACGTGGTTTTTTCTTTGGTTTGGAATTCTGTTCTGCATCAGATTCAGTTTTTGTTTTATTCTCCTTTGATTTCATTTGATAAGCATCAGAATTAGCAGATGGTACATTGTTAGTGTTCTTTTTCCCTTTTTTACCATTCTTTTTAGTTTTGCCTAAATAAAAAAAAAAGAAAGACAGGTGATCATGTAATTTTACACTAGTGACTACCTTAGATTGCAATTCTGGAGGTAAACGAAAAAGAAGACGATCAAATAATACACTACGTCGGGAATTCGAAGTAGACATCGAAAGGATGAATAGCAATTGGAAAGGATTGCCCAGGACAAAATTGGATGGAGAATGTTGCTGGGCGGACTATGCTCCTCCACGAAGGGTAACAAATGTAAGTAAGTAAGTAAGAATAATAACAATAACAAATACTCAGACTGTAGTGAAATAAAACACTAGTGGGGACAATCCAATGTATTTAACAACAAATTACAGAATTAGTTAGTAAAATCAAACAACCATATATTGAATCGTTAATTTGCAAATTGTTCATCAATTGTCTCAAATCACTCAGAATCCCCTTGTTCTTGCATTTTCATACAAATTGCATTCTGTCTTCATTCTTTATTGTTCAATCTTCTTATCTCTCTGCCGCCAGACATTCTGTTCAGTGCTCACGTCATATACTACTTATGTCTACATAAGTAGCACACACCACACTCGTCCCCCCTTCAAAAGCATTCGTTCTTGCGGTGGTTCATGCTCGCCGTGCAACATTCTTCCACCTGCAGTCTGTGCTACGCCCTCCGTCAAAATGTCGAGTCTGCGGCGCGCTGACCTCCATAGCTACGTCGACCTGCCGGGGAACCAACATCTGACCTCCACCCGGCACCTGGGACGTCTACTCCTGTGCTCCACCGGCATGCTGAGTCATCTACATCCGATGTCCGCCCAGCAGCCTCACGTCCCACCGCTCCTCTCCGTCGACAGCACCCGCCACGGCCAACGCCGCCCCGCCAGAACACTCCACCAGACGCCACCTCTCGGCACCAGACTGCCCCAACCTGCGCCTCAGCTCCAGGCCCGCAACGGCGTCCGCAGAACAGCACCCTCCTCCTCTCCTGGTTGGCAGCGACACCAAATGTAGTGAAATAAAACACTAGTGGGGACAATCCAATGTATTTAACAACAAATTACAGAATTAGTTAGTAAAATCAAACAACCATATATTGAATCGTTAATTTGCAAATTGTTCATCAATTGTCTCAAATCACTCAGAATCCCCTTGTTCTTGCATTTTCATACAAATTGCATTCTGTCTTCATTCTTTATTGTTCAATCTTCTTATCTCTCTGCCGCCAGACATTCTGTTCAGTGCTCACGTCATATACTACTTATGTCTACATAAGTAGCACACACCACAAGACAAGGTACTATGCTAATGATTACAAAAAAAAGGACAAATGACTCACTTTTCTCCTTTTTTTTCTCTTGACCACCACCACCACCACCACCATGTTCATCATGAGAACCAGAAGATAGCAAAGCAAATATTATACCAGCTTGTGAATTCGGTCCAACGGCAGTAACAACCATTTTACCGGAACCTTCCATAACATGAGTACCTATAGGGAAGAAAAATGGAGAGAAAAAAAGAGAAAAGATCGAGGTCTATCAGTTTAAATGAAATTGTCTAATGATCATTTTTGTTTGATCGTTTGATAAGAACAAGCTAAATAGAATCTAAAGAATTAATTTCGAGGTTTCTGTGAAAAATCTAAAGGTGATTAACTTTTATTAGTAAAAGTACAGTATAGATACGATTCATTACTTAATTACTTACTTACTTACGCCTGTTACTCCTCGTGAAGGAGCATAGGCCGCTCACCAGCATTCTCCATCCAACCCTGTCCTGGGCAATCCTTTCCAGCTATTTCCAGTTCTTATTCATCTTTTTCATATCTGCTTCTATTTCCCGACGTAATGTGTTCTTTGGCCTTCCTCTTTTCCGCTTCCCTTCAGGATTCCAAGTTAGCGCTTGTCTCGTAATGCAGTTTGATGATTTCCTCAATGTATGTCCTATCCATTTCCATCGTCTTTTCCTAATTTCCTCTTCAGCTGGAAGCTGGTTGGTTCTCTCCCACAAAAGGCTGTTGCTGATGGTATCCGGCCAATGTATGCTGAGTATCTTGCGTAGACAACTATTTATAAATACTTACACCTTCTTGATGACGGTTGTATTAGTTCTCCAAGTTTTAGCTCCGTACAGTAGAACTGCCTTGACGTTCGTATTGAAGATTCTGACTTTGACATTGGTTGAAAGTTGTTTTGAGTTCCATATGTTCTTCAGTTGGAGGAATGCCGTTCTAGCTTTGCCAATCCTCGCCTTGACATCTGCATCTGAGCCTCCTTGTTTATCGACGATGCTTCCCAGGTATGTGAAGGATTCTACATCTTCCAGAGTTTCGCCATCAAGAAAGATTGCGTCGGATTCATTATGAATCGCAATTCAAATATCATGTATAATGAACAGCTGAAATATTTGTGTATATTGTTCAAAATATACAGATGGTAGTGGAAAATCACTTTTTATCACCATAAAGTTCAAATGACAGTGTTAGATGCAACAAGCATTCAATTCTATCTCTGTAGATTGTATATAACAGATAAATTAACACTGGATTTCATTTGATTATACTCCTTTCGGATTAATGCTTATACTCTTACTACCTCTACCACTATGAGATTTGAATCGACAACCGCAACTCTGTGCTAATGTGGTATGACAACTCGAACTGATATACGTACGTACGAAGTTCTACGTTGTTACTGACTGACTGACTGACTGAAATTAACATTACCGATAAATTCTAACCTTAAATCCTTAATCTTGAAACAAACCTTAACGTGATGGTGCTATAAATTTTATGGATGAACTAATGAGATAGAACCTCTTGGATTTTTGTGTTAAACTCACTCAATCATAGCACTAGAAAGCATATTTGCATTATAGTTAATGTGATTAGTGATGAAAGTCATAACTAAAGACCCCTAATCCTAATTCTAACCAAGAACACTGTGAGTACACTTTCAAACTAACATCCGTCACCATAATAGTTTATGTAAACAGACAATATACATCCATATAGACAAAATTATATATGATTTTAATAATTGAATCCGTGATCCAATTAAAGCTAGACCACCATAAAAAACCTGGAAGCATTGGACGACCGTTTCGTCCGATTGTGTGATTCCTCAGCAGTGCGCATCCACGACCCTGCTCACAGTATTTGAACCCAGGTCCTAGTAGTCTTGCGCGCCTACGCTCAACCTCTAAACCACTGAGAGATATTCGAGAAATTTTGTGTAATGATTGACGTTAAACATTAACAACGTTGGTCTACAGGTTAAGCGGTCACACGCGAGACCAGCAGGTTTTGGGTTCGAACCCCGCGAGCTGGACCATGGATGCGTACAGCTGAGGAGTCTCACAATAGGAAGAAACGGTCGTTCAATGCTTCCAGGTTTTTAATGGTGGTAGTCTAATATCAATCAGTCCATAATCTCAATCAAAAAATTAATTTCTTATATGATTGTCTGATAAGTCATTTCAATTACTGTGAAACAAATTGATTCATAAATGTTTTTTAGGGAATAATGAATTTTCTATAAAACTATTTACAACTACGAGAAAGATTCACACACACACACACACAAAAAAAAAAGAAACTTTAAAATGAATAAATTTGCATTTAGATAAAATATTTAGTTCAGAACCTAAATGGAACAGTTCCATCAATCACAAAGCCAACGATATACCAACAAAAATAGTTAACATAAATATGAAGACGTCAAAATCAATGAAAATAACTAATCACAAACAAGTTTATCAGAACAAATCAACATAATGCTAGATGTACCTGAATCTCAAAGTTGGTGTTCACCCTTGGACTCGAACCCTAACAGGACTCAGTAGCTGAGTGGATAACGCGATGGTGTTTGAAACGAATGGTACTGAGTTCGAGTCCCAGAGTGAACATCAATTCTCAGATACAAGGACATCCAGCTGATGAGTCGCAAATAGGACGAAATGTGCGTCAAACTGGATTCCACTATTAATCACTATCCATCACCGCTTATAAAAGTCTATGAATTAAGGCGATATCGAGGCAATACTCACAGTATACACATATACTAATAACAGACTGATCAATTGCAGTCTTAAAACCTCAATGGGAAGATACAAACAAAACAATACCAAGTGCATTCAACATAATGTTTTTGAAATAGCTAGAAAATTCACTTCTGGATGAAGTACCTATTAAATAGATTATCTAGAATGACAATGACATCTCGACAATTAAACCACTAAACTCGAAGAACTTAACACTATTCATAAAAAAAGAATCAGAAACTTGATGATAAACCTTGAAAAATCAATAAAGACCTTAAAACTATTATACTCTTTTACAAAACTGATTAATTCGGTTGCACAATACGTTTTGATTTCTAAAGACTCTACTGATTGAACAAGGGGTGACTTCAAATCAAGTTGTCAGCTTACAAATCACTGAAGTTTATTCCTATATGATAATAAACCTGGAAGCACTGGACGACTGTGTCAGCCAAGTGTGAGACTCCTCAGCACTGCACATCCACGATCCCACCTCGAGAGATTACAACCCAGAACCTATCAGTCTCGCGCGTGAACACTTGACCTGTAGACCACTGAGCCGGTATCCAACGGTGTTAATGTCTAATATCAACCAATCCACGACAATCGCGCCACCGTCCATTATTTTCTTCAGTAAGTTCCTATCTCACAACAGACCTGATTGAACTCCACTGCTTCTCACTAAAACTCCAAGAAATACCTCTTAGAAACAGTCACTAGTGAGAATATGATGATTATAATCAAAGATGGATTTTGCGAAGATTGTAGTAATTTGAATAATTGAATTCATCACTATAGAAAACTTGAAAGTATTGGACAGCCACTTGTAAATTGTGAGTAAATAAAACAAATCCGTGAACTAAGGTCGTTCGCGGCTCAGATAGCCCAGTAGTAACATCTCTGACTATGAAACTAGGTGACATGGGATCAAATCCGTCAGGGAGCATCAGTTCCCTCAACATTACAGGTACATCTTGCTGACGAGTACCAAGTAGCATGAAACCAGTGGTTAACAGGATTTCCTATTGACTACCTTCAATCATCATCTACTAAGTGAATTCATATTAATCTACTACAAACACATTGTTTGTTTTTTTCTTTCCATATTCAAACGTTACTGATAGAGAAAAACAGTATAAAGTTTGATTGACAAACTTCTAATCTATCAATTATATTCTATTCTAATTAATTAGTTACTCTAAGTAATTAATTTTATCTGATTTTTAATTGATATGTGAAACATACACAACTGTTTATCTTAATTTAATTGAACTAATTCATAATCATTATACCTAATACAATATGTACAATTTCATCAAATAAAGAGGGATATAATGTAATTATAGTTAATTATAATGGTTTTGATTAAGATTATGAACCGATTGATGTTAGACAATCATTGATGGTGGTCCTCAGCAGTGCGCATCCATAATCCCATCCACGGGATTCGAACCCAAGATCTATTGGTCTCGCGTTCGACCGCTTAACCTCTAACCTTAACCAATCCACGAAATTGCGCGAACATCTTCCAGTGGTCTATAGGTTGAGCGTACACGCGTAAGACTACTAGGTCATGGGTTTGAATCACGCGAGCGGGATTGTGGATGCGTATTGCTGAGGAGACCCACAATAGGACTGTTGCTATGATAGAAAGAAAAGTCAAAATTAGATTGGTTTACTCATTATGAGTTTTTGGTTCAGCATTACTTTCGTTCTCAATGTATTGATTACTCAATGTAGTATTTGTTTTCTTTTCTCGTATGATATTTTATTCTGTATAATATACGATATTCTTGTATTCGACTGATCTGAACAATGCTCAGTATATGATATGTTAGAACTAAGTATTTTTCATATGTGATTTCATCCTAATTTATTAATCAACTAGGGTCGTCGTCGACACTGTCTGGAATAACATTCCTTTCACTAGTCTTCTGTCTTCTCATTGTGACTTGGAAGGGTTCTAGCGTTCAAGTGCTCAAGTTATACGTGTCATATCAAGAATATAAGCATCTAGAGATATAACAACTGGCGAGGGGGGTTATCAAGATGTCATTTACCTTTGAAAAATTTGAAGCCTTGTTAGAGCGTCAAGAAAAATGTTTCGAACAGTTCCAGATTCGTATTATAGAGACGCTAACCCAGCAAATGAACTTGAATCAAAAAGGGGTTGCAGATGATCCTTTCAAATCACATGTCGACCATATTATTAATTCTATCGATGAATTTCATTTTGAAGGTTTGGTTGGTGTCACATTTGAATCATGGTTGAAGAAATACGAAGATGTATTCAAGGTCCACCTAGAGAAATTTGATGATGCCTCAAAGGTCAGAGTATCGCTACATGAACTTGGCACAGCTGAATATGAGAGCTACACCAATTCCATTCTCCCTAAGAACAGAAGAGATCTTTCATTTGATGCAACGATCGTAACTTTGTCACAAATT